ATGTTGCATCGGCGACGAGCACTGCTGCTCTGCTCTCCTAGCTAGCAGCCCACTGGGATCGTAATCCCAGCCCTAATAAATTAGAGGGACAAAGTTTAATGAAAGGAAGGTAGACATTTTATTTGTAAAAAGGAAAGGGAAGGGAGAGGAAGGGAGAAGATAGATAACTACCCTGATAAGAAAGAATCAGGGTGGGGGCTCCAGAAAGATGGAGGACTTGTGAACCTTCATTCCCAGCTGCTTTTATAGGGGAGTCAAGAGACCCTTTCCTCCCATCCGGAACTTGCCATAACTGCATTGGCGTCCGAGCACCTCTGCCTACCATCATTTTTCCTGGTAGTCTGTGTACAGCTTCTGTCTGTCTGTTTACTTGTCCTTGACTTACCTTTTATGGCCTTATCTTTGGGGTGGGCGGCTAGTTGGCAAGGGGGTGCCTTATGCATGGTTAGCTTCGTAAGTAAAGGGGCATGTGGATGTGTGTTGTACTCTGTAATGACCCTAGAGTATACACATGTGTGTACATGGATGTGTCAGTGTAAGATGTGAGCACACACTCTCTTAATGTTAGGCAGCCCCTTCCTTTGTTTTCTCTATATTCTGTTGGAGGTGGGGGCAGTTTATCATTTGTGTCCAGCCTGTCAGCTTTTTTTTTTTTTGTCAGCTCTTTTTTTGATCTCTTGTTGCAAGTCTCAAGGTCATTTGGTGCCTTTCTTTATCTGGTTTTTTTCTCTTTCTCTACCCTCTTCCTTGACCTTTTTCCCACAGGAATTTCTCTGGTAAAGTTTCTTTTTGACTCCTAATTAAGATTAGCTAGAAGACCTAATGAGCCTCCTATTCTGTTTTCTTCCCTGTTTAGAGACCCCTTGACCCTACAGTTTCTCTTGGTTAATTTTATATAATGTAAATTTCATCACAATAAAAATAAAATAAGGGCCAGGGATTTAGTTCAGTGGTTCCGCCGCCTGTCTCACAAGCGCAAGGTCCAGAGTTCGATCCCTGGGACCAAAAAAAAAAAAAATTCCCTGTGCCTTTCCATAAGAGTTCAAAATAAAAAGACAAAAAAGTCGCTCTTCTGAGAAAATGAACTCACTAGAACTAACCCCCCTTTTTTTTTGCTTCATGCTAAAAATATGTGCGCCTGTTACTTCTCAGTGTTTGTTCATCCTTTAGGTGATGTTAGCTTCTTGTTCATCCACCAGATATTTATTGAGTAATCTCTCTGTGCCACACTGCTGTCAGTTCTGAGGGTGAGGCTGTAAGCGATAGAGGCCATCCATGTGCCACCAGCCTCAGTCTCCGTTCTAGGTGAGAAGAGAGTGGACAAACTTTTTTTTTCTATTACAGTATTTTTTTTAATAGCAAAACATTTATTGGTACATTTTAGGCATACATAATGATAACACTCATCATAGGGAATTTTCACCTGTACATGATGCATCCCACCTTTTTTCCCATTCCCCTCACCTCTCAAACCCCCTCCCCTCCCTAGTGCAAAAGCTTTGTTTCCATTTTTTCCATTTTCTCTTTTTTTTCTTGTCCCTTCCTTTCTCCCTCCTCCTTTGTTCCCCTTCCAATTTGAACACATTCTTCCCATTTCCCAGTAACTATTATATATTTTAGGCTTTATTTCCACTTTCGGTTTCTTACACCAGAGAAACAATGCAGTATTTAAACACGTGTGTCCAATGTATTTCACTTAAGAGTGTGGTCTCAGGGTCCATTCATTTAGCTATAAATGTATGAAGCTCATCCTTTATGGCAGAGTAGTACTCCATTGTAGAAAAAAACCACATCTTCTTTATCCACTTGTCAATTGATAGGCATTTGAGCTGTTTCCAAGATTTAGTTATTATAAATTGTGCCGCTGTAAACAAGGGTGTGCATATATCATTGTGGTATGCTTTTAATTCTTTGGGGAAGATACCAAGAAGAATAGCTGGGTCAAATGGAACCTCTAGTTTTAGTTTTGTGAGGGGTTTTGTTTGTTTGTTTGGTACCAGGGATTGAACTCGGGACATTCCGCTTTCGAGGCAGGCAGCGGAACCACTGAGCTAAATCCCTGGCCCTAGTTTTAGTTTTTTGAGAAATCTCCACACTGATTTCCACAGTGATTGCACCAGTCTATACTCCCACCAACAGTGGAGAAGGGTTTCTTTTTTTCCCATATTCCCTCCAGCATTTGTTATTGGTTGATATCTTGATAGCAGCCATTCTTTCTGGAGTGAGATGGAATCTCAGTGTTTTAATTTTCATCTCTCAGATGACCAGTGATGTGAAACATTTTTTCAAATATGTATTTGTCATTCCTACTTCTTCATCTGAGAAGTGTCTATTCATTTCAGATGCCCATTTTTGAATTGGGTCTTTTTTTGTTTTGTTTTGGTACCAGGGATTGAATTCAAGACCTTGGGTTTGCAAGGCAGATGGCGGAACCACTGAGCTAAATCCCCAGCCCTGAATTGGGTCTTAAATAGGGGGTCTGATTTTTTTTTTTGAGTTCTTCATATACTCTAGATAGTAGTCCTTTGTCTGATGAATAGCTGGTAAAAATAAATTTTCCCACCCTGTGGGTTGTCTCTTCACTCTGTTGGTGGTTTCTCTTTCTGTGTAAAACTTTTTAATAAGATGAGATCCCAGTTGTTGATTCTTTGTAGTATTTCCATGTGGTCTGGGTTTTATTCATGAAGTGTTTGCCTACTCGTGTGTCCTCAAGCATTCTACCTATTCTTTCTTTCAGCAGATTTAGTGTTTCTGTTTTAATATTTAGGTCTTTGATGCATTTTGATTTTAGTTTAGTGCATGGTGAAAGAAAGATATGTGTCTAGTTTCAATCTTTGGCATGTGGAAAGCCAGTTTTTCCAGTACCACTTATTAAATAGGCTATCTTTCAGGGCTGGGATTTAGCTCAGTGGTTTCGCCACCTGCTCCGCAAGCACAAGGACCCAAGTTCGATCCCCGGTACCAAAAAAAAAAAAAAATAGGCTATCTTTCTTCCAGTGAAGGTGTGTGACTCCTTTGTCAAAGATAAGGTGGCTGAGTAGAACAAACTTAGAATGTGTAGTTCTGTAGAGTGAGTGCTGTGAAGGAAAGCGAAGCCATGGCAGGGTAAAGTGAGAGAGGCTGAGGCAGGTTGGGTGGGCCTGGCCACCTGGGGGAAGAGCAGACGAGGAGCGTCCACTTGCGTTTAGTTTGTTGGGCTTTTTGCTAATGCCATTATCTGGTATTGGGAAATGTTAGCTATTTACCATTTTTATTTTTTATTAGTATACATTTGCAGTACATAATGATTACATTCCTCACAGGGGGACAAATGTTATTTAGAACATCCCTCTCAGTGTTCCATCCACTCTGGTCATGGCATTAGCAGCTTGAGAGAAATCCTTTTCTTTTTTTTTTCCTTAAATTCTTTTATTGGTACATTTTAGGTATACAATACATTTACATTTATCATTGGGAACTTGTACCTAGAAATCCTTTTCTTGGTGTAGTATGGTGTCCTTATCACCCTCTGAAATTGGTTTGTTTTTATCCAACAGACATTGGAAGTCATGTAGCTGACATGGTTTCCTTTTTCATATTCCCAGCTAGAAAACAGATATATTTGTTGCCCACCCATCATAGCCATAGTCATGAAGGATGGTATGCATAAAAGAAACAAATAAAATAGTTTTTCAAAGTGGAGTTGTGAATTATAAGCATATGTGCTTAATGTTGAACACTTACATGCATAACGTGTGGCTATCGCAGAGAATAAAAATACCTACATAAGGGGCCAGTGGTTTAGCTCAGTGGTTTCGCCGCCTGCTTTGCAAGCGCGAGGACCCAAGTTCGATCCCCGGTACCAAAAAAAAAAAAAATACCTACATAAGTGATGGTTCTCAGGGACAGTTTTGTCCCCTAGGGATAGGTTGCTTGCTTGCTTTTCTTTCTTTCCTTCTTTCTTTCTTTCTTTCTTTTTTTCTTTCTTTCTCTTTCTTTCTTTCTTTTTTTCTTCCTTCCTTCCTTCCTTCCTTCCTCCCTTTCTTTCTTTCTTTCTTTCTTTCTTTCTTTCAGGTTCTCACCATGCAGTTTAGGTTCCCCTTGAACTCGCTATGTAGCCCAGGCTGATTTTGAACTCACAGCCATCCTACTGCCTCACCCTCCTTAGTGCTGGGATTACAGATGTGCACCACTATTCTCAGCTCCCTGGCAATTTTGGTGATGTCTGGTGGTCACATGGCCACTGGTGTCCTTCATTGAACTGTACAGCCCCCACCACAAAGAATTTTCTGGCCCTAATGTCAGTACTGCTGAGGCTGGGAAACTCTGCTGTAGACTGACTGGACCATTCGATCTGTAATTCCAGGGCCCAGAGCTCTGGAAGCATCCTGGTACTTAAGTGACAGATGTGTTTGTGTCTTGGTCATTTGTTCTGCTGTAACAAAATACCTAAGACTGGCTAGTTTCACCTCCTCACAGTTCTAGAGGCTAGAAAGTACAAGAGCAAGGTGACAGCAGATTCAGCGTGTGGACCTATTCATATGTGCATATCTTCGCATGGCAGAAGGCACAGAAAGGGCAGGAGAGAGAGGAATGCCATGTCCTCTTGTGGAAGGAGAGCGAGCAGGGTCAGACTCCCCTCCTCCAGCCCTTTTCTAGGGCTGCTAGTCCTCTAGGTTTACTCCCTTCACAGAGGCCCTGGCCTCTTAATGCCATGCGGTGCGGGCTGGGCTTTGAGATGAATCATAGAGCAGACACAGTCTACGCTGCTTATTCTGCATACATGTCTGTTCTGAGTGGGAGGATCAGGCATGCTTCCACTGAAATTGTCATCAGTCAGATGTTCCTGAAAGCAATTTTTTCCCTCCAGAAATCTATATTGTACCCATTCAGTCACAGCTTGAGTTTGACAGAACTGGGAGGAAAGTTGATTTTTTAAAATTTGAACTGCAGTATTTTGAATGTTTGAGTTAGCAACACAGTTAAAACAAGATTGTGTTCTTGTCCTACTGTCTTTTCAGGCTTTCATAGAGACCATGTTTGCCAGCAAAGCCCCCGTGGAGGAAGCCTTCCTCTACGCTAAGGTGAGCCGGGGACTCGGAAAAGGTCCTGTCAGAGTCTGGTGGACAGTAACTTCTTCAGCTCACAGCCCAAGGACAGTCAGCTCTGCCTGGCCTCAGAGATGCTCTGCTTCTCACATATTATTAGACTAGTCGAGTACATGAGTCTAAAACATGCAGCACTACATTTAGAGTAAGAAAGTTGCAAAATACAGCAAATAAAGAAGGAAAGACTGAAGTGTGTAAGATGAGAATAACTTCAGTAACTGTGAAGGAAGACAGGTATGAGCCTGTGCATGGGTAGTGCAGATGCTGCCGGTCTCCAGCCCACCTAGAAAGCTGGCATCCTTTCTCACTTGTCCAGAGCATTTAGGTCAGTACCCACTTGAAAAGTTGAAATTAGTAATGTAGAGCTAGTGTTAAAAATAAAACCCAGGGCCAGGGATTTAGCTCAGTGGCGCCATGCCTGCCTCGCAAGTGCATGGTCCGGAGTTCAATCCCTCATACCAGGGGGCAAAAAAAAAAAAGAAATTCAGGGCCGGGGATTTAGCTCAGTGGTTCTGGCTCCAGCCTCACAAGCATACGGTCCCAAGTTCAATCCCTGGTACCAAAAAAAAAAAAAAGAAATTCATATTTTGTTATTTGGCTAAGTAAGAATAAACAGCCTTCTTTGTAGATTTTCTGTGTCCTCTTATGTACTGAATTTTAAAATCATAGGAATTTAGAAAATAAAAGAGAATAGATTTAATAATAAGGTTAAATAACAGGACTGGTGGGAATAAAAATAAATGCAGAATGCAGACTGTAGATATATAGCATATGGGGTGAGAATCAAAGAAATGGATGGAAATTACAACCTTAACAGTTTGGTTGTACACAGTGACCAGTGCTGTAGTCATGGCTTACATCAAGCACTGCTGTGGAGGCAGAGGCTGTGCAGCCGGCCTGGCTTCCAGAAATGCGAACTGCATGGCTTATACTTCACTGTTCTTCACAGTTTGAATTTGAATGCCGAGCACGAGGGGCAGAAATCTTGGCCTATCCACCTGTGGTTGCTGGAGGGAACCGGTCGAACACTCTGCACTATGTGAAGAATAATCAGCTCATCAAGGTACAAAATGTTCCCTTCAGTGGTTGGGCGCTCCAGCAGAAAGCTCACTAACTGCTTTTGCAAATTAACTGTCATTTAAAAGCCTATAATCCCAACACTCAGGAGGCTGAGGCAGGAGGATCTCTGCAAAGTTGAAGCCAGCCTGGGCTACATAGTGAGTTCAAGGCCAGCCTGAACTATATAGCAATACCCTGTCTCAAAAAAAGAAAAATCTTTATAAAATATATTATCTATGATCTAATTGTTTCCTATTAGGAAATTTATTCCATCTCATTGCAACAAAAACACTTACTCTTTTTTTTTTTTTTTTTTTTTTTGGTACCGGGGATCGAACTTGGGTCCTTGTGCTTCCACAGCAGGCAGCGAAACCACAAAAACACTTATTCTTGCAAGGACCCGAATTCAATCTCCAGTACCAAAAAAAACCCACTTACTCTTCAAAGTTGTCATTACTATATATATACTCCCTTAACCACTATTTTATTGTGTATCAGGTTTTGCACTTAGATATAGGTATAAAAAAGATACAACTTGCTGGGCATGGTGGCACACATCTATAATCCCAGCACTCAGGAGGCTGAGAGAGGAGGATCACCATGAGTTAGAGGCCAGCCTGGACAACATAGTGAGACCCAGTCTCAAAAAAAAAGATATGCCCTGTCTTCAAGGGCATAAATCACTCATGACTACTAATAAGTTAAAAATACACTCAGAATTTTCTTCTTTCCCACATATATTATGACAGAGAGCAGAAGGGGAAGTAATATTCTAAAGTGAAATGGCTAAGGGTAATTGTGTTAGAATGAGGCACTGACTGAAGTGGGATATGTAACTAATACAGTAACATTTGTGATGCCTGAATGCCTTCCCCTGCTAATTCTGACCCAGATGGGCTGGGCCCAGAGCCTGTACCCCTACCCACCAGACACTGCCGTACCTCTGGAGCCTGTATAAACTCCTCTGCAAAGCTCAGGCATACATCTCTCATGAGAAGGAACCAGAGATTGGTCTCTAGATGAGAGCTTTCTTAAAAAATAAAGAGCATCTTTTAGATTAGAGGAAACAGTTGTGAGCTCCCTCACATTATCCTGTTCCTTTGTTCCAGGATGGGGAAATGGTGCTCCTGGACGGAGGCTGTGAGTCTTCCTGCTACGTGAGCGACATTAGTCGGACCTGGCCTGTCAATGGCAGGTAGTCCTCTCAGGGGAACATGTCCTACTGTTGCTTGGGAGTATGAGTTAGAACATGGATATTTTGAATAAATGACTACAGAAACCTTCAGGGCTCTCGTAGGCCAGGTTGACTGCTTTGCGAAACTCTTGATAAATTTCTAAGACTTTGGTTCTTCCTACAGCAGAGTGAGGCACACAGGAACACTATATTAACCCTCTCTCTCTCTCTCTCTCTCTCTCTCTCTCTCTCTCTCTCTCACATACACACACACACACACATACACATACACACACAAACACCCATATTTTCTAAAAATAACTGTAAAGTATTTCTGGTGTTTTTAATTTTCTGATCACAAAGATAGTCTTAATTTAGGATAAAATAACTTGTTATTTTTTTATCCACTGATATAAAATCTAAACAAAAATGTTTTCTGTTACTGAGTATTGAACCCAGGGCCTCTGCACTGACCTACATCCCTAGCCTTGATTAATTGTTGAGGCTGGGGGTTTTTTTTTGGTATTGGGGATCAAACTCAGGACCTTCTGCTTTCGAGGCAGGCGGTGGAACCACTGAGCTAAATCCCTGGCCCTGTTAAGGCTGGTCTTGAAGTTGCAATCCTCCTGCCTCAGTCTCCCAGAGTGCTGGGATTACAAGTGCGCACCATCATGCCCAGCTGGCCAAAGTTTTAGTGAGAATTTATATTTATTAAAGATATTAAAGGTAGGAGAAGGAATGTGCACTGCACAGTGAGCATGGGCCGGTTAAAGGTAGGACAAGAAGTGAACTCTGCAGAGTGTGGATGGGTCAGTGGAAAGGCTCCCAGCAGCCCTGGCTGGACAAAATGTTACAAGTCTCTTTGGAGGAAGAACGATAATGGGCCAATTTTAATAGCTAGACCTCTCTGCCTAAGGGCATCCCCAATGCATGGTGTTGGCAACATGAAGTCACAGCCTTACCAACTTCAGGTGTCAGAGGATAGTTAGAGGCTGCCAGAATATTCAGAAGAATGGGCCAGGAGATCGTGAAGACAAGGTGGCACAGACAATGTGAACCCCCAGATCTACTTCTTAAATTTTGCGGATCACTGACCTGTGCTGGAGGTCACCCAGTACGAGCAGCAGAATAAGCTGAGCAGAGATTTTCATTACTTCCCACTGAGTACCAAGTTTACAATTTGAATCTAGCCAAGCTAAAACAAAGTAATTTGCAGTATTTTGAGACATGGTCTCATTAAGCTGCCCAGGCTTCCTCAAACAGCTATATTTGCAGTTGCCCCAAACTGGAAATAATCCAATGCCCATCAACGGGAGAGTGAATATGCAATCTGTGGTGTATGGTAACGCAGTTTTCTGCAGAGGAATACAACTCAGCTATAACAAAGAGCAGGCTGCTGAGTGAAGCAACACCATGGGTGAATTGCTCAGTGAGGAGAGCTATCCACAAAAGAGCACGTATTGTATGATTCCGTTTATATGCTGTAGAATGGGCAGAAGTAAGGGGGAAGTGATCAGAACAGCATTTGCCTCTGGTGGAATGGGTATTGACTAGAAATAGAAACAGGGAAACTTTCTGGGAAGGTGAAAATATTGTATTTAATGATGGGAATACAGATCTGCCTTAGGATTCTAGAGAGCAAAGCACCAACAGGATATGTGTCTGTATTTCTGTTCACATGTCATTAACGATGGGGACAGGGTCTGAGAAGTGTTCCTCGGGCGGTTTCACCATTGTCTGAACAGCGTGGAATGCACTCAGCACACCCTTGGATTGTATGGGTTGGTTACTGGGCCTGACCTTTGACGGTCAGGAGATGTGCACTTGACACCGCAGACTGTCTTAGTTTTTTATGAATAGGAACACATTTACCATCATGATAAGCCAGAGCCTGTGGTGCATAGCTGTAGTCCAAGCTGCTCAGGATCTGAGACCGGCCTGGGAAACATAGTAAGATCCTATCTCAAATGAAGTAAAGTAAAAATTTTAAAAATAAGCTGAACATGACACACACCTGGAATCCTAGCTACCCCACAGGCCAGTTGGGAAGGTCATGAATTCAAGGCCAGCTGGAGCAATATAGCACGACCTCATCTCAATAAACATTTGGAGCAGAGTTGGAGGAGGAGGGGTTGTGAAAAAATCATTATGTAGTGCAAACATGTACTAATAAAAATTAAAACTGTCACTGGGTGTGGAGGTGCACACCTCTAATCCCAGCACTTGGGAGGCTGAGACAGGAAGATCACTTGTGAGTTTGAGACCAGCCTGGTCTCCATAGTGATTTCAAAGCCAGCCTAAACTATATAGAGAGACCCTGTCTCTAAATAAATAAATAAATAAATAATAAAAATTTAAAAATTAAAAGGCAAAAAATATAATAGTGTAAGTGTATGTTATGTTTAATACATTAACCAGTAACATATTTATTATCATTGTCAAACATGAACTGTACATAATTGAACGTGCTGTGCTTTCATACATTTACATTAACAGCACCACAAAGACAAGAGAAATGTGTTATGGTACATCAGTAGGCAATAGGCTCTGTTAAAAATCTTATGAGAGCTGGGTAGATGTGGTTTGCAATCCCCCGCACTTGGGAGTCTGAGGCAGGAGGATCAGTGTTCAGCCTGGACCACGTGGTGAGACCTTATCTCAAAAAGTCTTGTGGGATGAAAACCTTGTTATACAGTTTGTGACTGTGTGTTGTGTGTGTGTGCACACACTTGGGTGGGTAGGGAGGTAGAGAGATTCTTAGGAATTGACTCATGCAGTTGTGGGAACTGGCTGCAGTTGTAGAGCAGGCAGGTGAGAAACTTTAGCAAGAGTTGATGATACAGCTGGCCATGGTGGCACCCACCTGCAATCCCAGCACTCTTGGAGGCTGAGGCAGGAGTACTGCAAGTTCAAACACAGCCTGAGCAAGTAAGTGACCTACTGAGACCCTGTCTCAAAAGATAAAATAAAAAATCAATTTTTAAGAAAAGAAAAGATGGGGCTGAGGATTTAACTCAGTGGTTCCGGCGCCTGCCTCACAAGTGCAAAGTCCCGAGTTCAGTCCCCGGTACCAAAAAAAAAAAAGAAAAGAAAAGAAAGGGTGTTCTGGGAGAGGGTAACTGCAGTCTGGAGTCCACAACCTGCAGGGGAATAGAGACCCAGACAGAATTTGCCCTCAAGTTTTCTGAGAATTCCTACAGTTCTGGTGTTTATTGCTGGCTGCCTTTTTGGTCCATGTCTCTGCCAGTCAGCCTATCCAACTCTTAGAGCTTTTCTGTCCCTCTGCTCAGTGGACCCCTGATAATAAACTCCGACAGATCGAGCTTTCTGTCCCACTGCCCTCATCCCACACTGGACATAGCCAATGCCACACACATCCCCAGAGCTTCACCTGCATGTGTTGGAAAAGTCATGCCCTCATTTGGGTGTGTAGTGCACCTTCTCTAGGGCCACACCTTGCACCTAACTTTGGGCCCTCTGGGGTTTGAGTCTGATTGTACGTCAAAAAGCATCTGGGCCAGGGATTTAGCTCAGTGGTTTTGCCGCCTGCTGCGCAAGCACAGGGACCCAAGTTCAATCCCCAGTACCAAAAAAATAAGCCCCTGAGGCAGCTCTCTCCCTCTGAAAGGCACCTGGGGGTTCTCAGAATTACAAGCAGGTCAGAAAGACAACTCAGCACACTTTAGGAGTTCAGTATCCTTGCCTCATCAGAATTGGTGCATCCATTTGTCAGAACTGCATGCTCGGGCTTGTGCATTTCAGTGATTGGCTAGCCAAGTTCGGTGGTGCATGCTGTAATCCCAGCTACCAAGAAGGTTGAGGAGGGAGTATTGCTTGAGCCCAGAACTTACATAGTGAGACTCTCTCAGAAAAAAGCAAAGATTTTCGCTGGATATGGTGGCACATGCCTGTAATCCCGGCACTGAGGAGGATTGCCATGAATAGAAAGACCCTGCCTTAAAAAAACAAAGGGCCAGGGTTGTAGCCCAGCCTCACAGTGACACTGGTAAGCATGAGGTCCTGAGTTCGATCTTTGGTACCACAAAATAAATAAATAACCAATTATTTAATCTTGTGAAAAAAATAAAATAATCTTGTGTTAGGGTGAGGTATGAGTATATTTATAGATGACATAATAACACTGTTGATAACTGTTGAGCCTAGGAGATGGTACTCATTATACTGTTATATTTAACCATTCTGTTACAGGATCTTTAAAGTTTGTCTAATATTTTGAAATTATAGCAAACATTGCAGAGACACTTGTACATTCAACTGTAAGGAATTTCACTTATTAAGATTAATTTTTTGAGCAGAATTACAAGCTTAGATTACATGATTATCTGTAAGGCCTTTGATTCAATTGGCTGTATTAATTTACACTCCCATCCACAGTGTATGAGAATCGGCATCATGTAACGCCAGGTGACCTCGTAAGCCCTGCTGAGCTTTCAAGGAGAGAATGTGTTGCCTCCCCAACTTGCAGGACTGTCACTCTTCCTATTGAGCATCTAGACCAGTGATGGCAAATTTTTAAGAGCTTTCAGTGATACAGCCCACTGCAGCTGCAGCACATGTGCCATAGATTAGCCACCACTGATGTAAGGCATGATGGGTCCTGTCATGAGGGTCTGTGTAGCCATAACGATGTGTTGGTACTTTTAAATATATCATCAACCTGGGTTTTCTCTAATCAAACAAAAGCAAACTTGTTGCAGTTCCAGTTCTTTGGGTTTCCTGTCCACAGGTTCACCGCACCTCAGGCAGAACTCTACGAAGCTGTCCTGGAGGTCCAGAGAGCTTGTCTGGCCCTCTGCTCCCCAGGGACGAGCCTGGAGAACATCTACAGCTTGATGCTGACGCTGATCGAACAGAAGCTCCGAGAGCTGGGGATCATATGGAGCAGCAAAGAAAGCTGTGCCTTCAAGGTTTTTCACTTCTCCTGTTCCCAGTTCTCAAGAGCACCTACCTGCTGCTCTGTTTGCACCCTGGATAAAGCTAGTTCTATTAGAAATGCTCTGTATAGGAGATTTAGCTTCTAGGTGGATTAAAACAAAGGGAGTCAGTGCTTCCTTCTGCCAGAAGATGGCAGCACATTCTGATCCATTGCTGCTGCATCACTGGCGCAGCCTTCAGAAAACAAAATGAAGTCTGGTGATCCAGGCAGGGTGGGAAAGAACACAAAAAAGCAGGAGAGGTTAACTCTTAACATCAGAGAGGAGGAAGTTTGATCTCAACAATATGCCCAGGAACCACATCTTTGATGAAATGTACTGTATCCAAAATGTAATGGTAGATTGCTGGACACCAAATTTGCTATAATACAGGACATCAAAATGTAATGGTAATGGTGCCTAGTCAAAATGTGAAACCTCAACTTTAAAATTCAATGCTAAGGGCCCGGGGATTTAGCTCAGTGGTTCTGGCGCCTGCCTCAAAAGCGCAAGGTCCCGAGTTCGATCCCAGGTACCCCCCCCCAAAAAAAGAAAAGAAAATTCAATGCTAAGAGATCAAACCAGATAGTCCATTAGCATTTTCCACCTTCAAGTTCAGGTTGCCAGGGCTCCCGTTCCCCATTGAGAAGACACTGTAAGTTCCACATTGCTTAGGTCAACAGATCTTAACTTTACTGAGGGAAGTACCCAAGCTGATAATGCCCAGTAATTATGCCTACACCACAAGCTGCTGTGGGATACTTAAGGCTTCTTGAGAGAGATGTGTGTACACTGAAAAGATAACAGTCCTAATATGGTCGTCTTCTCTTCCCCCAAAAAAGAGATTTTCATTTATCACAGTCATTACTGAGACTGCAAGGCATCATGTGTGTAGCAGATTTCATAGCAGTATGGAAATGTGGATAAATTAGAATGCAGTTAGCAAAATTGCATATAAGAAGTACCAGTTTATCACATCTCTCCTTCTGTCCTGCCCTTATTTATTTATTTATGTATTTATTTATTTTTCTTGTACTGGAGCTTGAACTCGACCTCAAGCATTTTAAGCACATGCTGTACCACTGAGCAAGACCCCCAGCGCAAATATTAGTTCTCTTAAGCAATAGCCCAAGGACAAGTTAAGCATAAGTGGCAGAACCATCAAGAATGTATTAATACATACCACACTGATTTATACGTGTCACTTTCCCTTAAGAGGTCATTGCTCTAATAATACTGTGGCGATTATCTGTATCAGTCACTTTCCTGTTGCTGGGTCAAAATACCAGATACCCGGGCTGGGGATTTAGCTCAGTGGTTCCGCCACCTGCCCCACAAGCACAAGGATCCAAGTTCAATCCCCGACACCAAAAACAAAAAAAAATACCAGATACCCGTAACTTAAAAGAAGAAGAAGTCTATTTGGGTCACAGTTTTAATGGGTTCACTCCATGGTTGCCTAGCTCCAAGGCAGAAACAGTGTAGTGGATGGGCATGGTGGAAGAAAGCTCCTCACCACATGGCAGTCAGGAAGCTGAGGGAGAAGGGAGGAGCCAGGAATAAGAAAACGCTCTCCCATGTTATGCTCCTAGTAATCCACCTCCTTCAGCCAGTCCCTACCTTCGAACAACACATTCAACTAAGAATGCATCAATGGATGAATCACAGATGATCCAGTCACCTTCCAAAAGCCTCACCTCTGAATACATGAGACTTTTGGGGGCATTTTAGATCTAACCCATAACATCTTTTCCAGGCTGCTAGGAAATACTGCCCTCACCACGTGGGCCATTATCTTGGGATGGATGTCCATGACACCCCAGACATGTCTCGTTCCCTCCCACTGCAGCCTGGGATGGTGATCACCATTGAGCCAGGTGAGGAGATAGTTTGCAGTTCCGACCTTCAGGACACATGATATTGTGAGGTTCACACTGTATATTTTAACCTGAACCACCATAATTAAACTAGAAGAGATACCACCAGTATAGAAGGTGACTAAGATTTATCTTTAGCTTTCTTATTTAACATCACACAATTTGTTTAATTTGACTTCTCCAATAAACAACAGATGGTGAATACTTTCTATAAGTGGATATTAAGAAATAAATCTTTTTTAATCCTCCCTTTGCTGGCCCATGAGCAGAAGTGGGGTGCTGAGGCTGCCAGAGCCTGGCGGATGCAGGCAGAGACATGCAGACTCTGTCCCCTGTCTTCCTTCGCGGCCCCGTCCGCTGCACTGGGCGGCCTGATGTGACCTGCTCCTTACCACCTGTGCCCTTCTTTCATGCTTCAGTGTCTTCAACACTGGTGCTGTTTCCATCAGTTTGCAAATGTTTTCATCTCTCAGGTCAGTTGTATCTGGGAAATGGATTCACACCCAATCATTTTTTGCCCTCTGTGGCCCTAGATGTCATTTAGACCAGTTAATTCAGTCCATCTAGTAAATCCACCACTCAGATGCTTCCTTAGATTGTGGTTATGCTTTCAGTTACTGTTATTTCCCGTCACAGAACAGTATCTGTGAAGAGGGTGGAAGAAGTTTGCAATTTTTTCATGGTGAAAAGACCTGAGTCTCACTGACTTTAGGAGTAGAAAGAGTACCTGAGGCTCCTAGATTTTTCCAAATGTACATTAAAGATTAATGTCTTTCTGTTTTTCTCATATCATGTACAACTGTTAAATTTTTAGCTAATTTGAGAGAAAAAATCCTTTATAATAACTATTTCTGGAGCTTCTGTTTTTTAAGGTTAATAATCTCTTAAGTATTTAAATACATTTTTATCTTTAGTTTTTGTTGTTACTGCTTGTGGCTGAGAGAAGGTCTTGCTATGTAGTTCAGGTTGACCTTGAACTCACTATGTAGCCCAGGTTGGCCTTAAGCTCTTGACCATGCTTCTGCCTGACCCTCCCAAGTTGGAATTACAGGCATGGAGCACCATGCCTGGCCATTTTATCTTTATTTTAGTAAATGCTCTTTCTCCAGGGGACCATTAGGGCAGAAGAAGAATACATTTATATTATTTGCTGGTCCAGCACATATAGGCATACTCGTAAATATAGACATATTCATAAATTAAGTAATTTTAATGGCCTCCTTGAGCCATGAGAAGTGACAAGGTCATGATCAGCATTATCGTAATCATATGGAACCTATAGTTTAATATTCAAAATGACTATAATAGTAATTCTAGCAGTGACAGCCAACATTACTGACCATTTGGGTCAGGTTGTGTTGTGTGTATTGACTCATGTAATCCTCTCAGCCTGTTAGGGACCCTTAGGACCCAGGTATGGCTGCAGGATTTGTAACAGAGAAGCCAGGTGGCCCCACACCCCAAGTCAATGTCCCTGCAGAACACTGTGCTCTTCTCTACTTCTCAGGCATTTATGTCCCAGAGGATGACAGAGACGCTCCGGAGAAGTTTCGGGGTCTTGGTGTGCGAATTGAGGATGACGTGGTGGTGACACAGCACTCGCCTCTTGTCCTCTCTGCAGAATGTCCCAAAGATCTGAAAGACATTGAGCAGATCTGCAGCAGGGCACCCTGACCCCACCTTGCCCCACACGCTTCTTGGGATCAGGATGGGGTCCTGGTGAGGCACGTCCTGAGCCTCCGCATGTCTCTGCCTCTTCGCTTGCAAGGCTGGGGATGTGTGGATGTGCAAAATCATGTGTATGGGCTTTTTAAAGTAGATGGAAATCTGGAAAAGTGGATTTTGGAATGGTTTGTTACTACAGCTTTAGTAACATTAATCCTGTAGTTTAATTTTTAAACATAAAGTAAGGTCTTGCTATATATGTCCATGCATTCCAGTGAACACACTTAAACATACAGAAAACTCTCTTCCCTCTTTGGGCCCTTCCCCTCCTGCATTTTCACTGAGATCCACCTGATATCATTTAGATATTTGTGTGGTGCCTGCATTCTGAGCTAGTCACCACGGTCTGCCTGTGCTGAGGGCCACTTGTCAGTGACTTGTGGGGGCCATGCCTACCTTTCCTGCCTTCTTCCAGGAGCCTAAGAAGCCCTTGAGGTCTCCCTTCAGCCACAGACCCGATTCCAGCAACGACAAGTCTTGAACAAAACAGTTTTGAGCCTTTCTTGCCACTTGGTTGCTGGGGCTTGAAGAGTATTTAGCTTCTTCATAAGTAAGAAAGTAGAAGAGAAAGCAAAGTGTGTATGTGTCCACCTCAGATCCAGACCTCCAGCTGTCGGTTCTCTTCAGTTTAAATATGATTCCTTTCCCAGACAAACATGCTTGCCTCATAGATTCGGGTTTTTTTCTTTGGAAATGGAGATATCACCATGTTGCCCAGGCTGGTCTCAAACTCAGGGGCTCAAGTGATCATCCCACTTCAGCCTCCTAGGTAGCTGGGACAACAGGTGGGCAACATGGCACCTAGCTCCTTCATAGGTTTTTTTTTGGTACCGGGGATTGAACTCAGGACCTTGCACCATAGGTTCTTAATTCATCAACCCTCGGAGCTCACCGTGGAAGCTATAGCACCACCAAAGGCAGCAACCCTATTAAAAGCCAGAGTAGGGCTGGGAATTTAGCTCAGTGGTTTTGCCACCTGCTGCACAAGCGCAAGGACCCGAGTTCAATCCCCGGTACCAAAAAAAAAAAAAAAAAACCCAGAGTAGCCTGGGTGTAGTGGCACACACCTGTAATCCCAGCAATCAGGATTGTTGCAAGTTCAAGGCCAGCCTGGCAGCAGATGTGGTGAGGTGGATGGAACACATTTCTCTTTTCCTGTGAGCAGTTCTGAGCCATTTCTGAAGCATCCCATTAGCTGGGAGCAGCCAAACAGTGGCCCGGTAACCATGGTCTGAAGTACATAGTGAGACTGTCTCAAATCCCCCTGAAAGAATATGTATTTTGGGCTGGGGATTTAGCTCAGTGGTTCCGCTGCCTGCCTCGCAAGCACAAGGTCCCACGTTTGATCCCTGGTACCAAAAAAAAAAAAAAAAAAAGAGTCAAAAAATATATATTTTATGTACATCTTTCAGAACATATGTAAGCCTCTTTCCCTGGCTCTCCCCCTACCCCCTTAAGTGGTGGGCATCAAACCCAGGGCCTTGTGTATGCCAGACAAATGCTCTGCCACTGAGCTGCACCCAGCCCCTCATTCATTTTTATAAGGTCCTGAAGGGAAAAGCCTTGCCATAGTCATTGTCTTGAAATTAAGATCCATAAAACAAATCTCCAGATAGAGACAATGTATCTCCTTAAAACAGAGCAAATCAGTATTCTATTTTTCAGACATCTGTTATGCACGCCTTCTTTGCCTTTGCTACAAACACTGCAGTGTGATGCACGGTGCTGCTCCCTATCCTACGCCCACATCGGTCACAAGTGACACTTAGCCAGGCTGCCCTGGGCCATGCGTGAACCCCAGGCACCTTGTACCGGTGTTTCCAGTGACAGCTGCTAATAAGACACTTGCATGTGTGCTGCAACCCACCTACCCCACTCAGCTAGGGTGAGATAGATGCCAGTATAACCTGAGTGTGAGACGGAAACCAAGGGTCCAGAAAGGACCCTGCATGGAAGAAGTGTTACAGCATAGTTAATGTTCATTTTGGTTTCCTGAGGTAGGATCCATAGCCCAAAACAGGATAGGGACATTTTCGGCCAGGATGAATATTCTAGTACCAGGGATCAAACTTAGGACTTTGTGCTTGCCAGGCATGTGTGGCACCACTGAGCTACATCCCCGGCCCATGGATGAATATTCTTTAAGCAAAAGATTCCTGGTGCTCCTGGAGTAATGAGAAGGCAGCGATGTTGTCATACCCTGCAGTGCTGCAGAATCTGTGGGCACAGCCCTCAGGCTCTCACTGCCTGTCTCCTCATCGCTGAGAAGCATCAGGACTCCTAAGGTCAGGGGTCCCCTTGGACTCACGCCTCTTGGGTGTGTTCCACGAGGATCTGGGGAAGTTGCTCTTCATTAGCATCACTTAATGCTTTCTATGACTTATGTGCAATTATCTAAGTTCAATTTGGACAAAATGCTGTTACTTTCTAAGGCCCTGTTCACGGAAAATAAATGTCACTCCCCAACAGGGGGAAAGCATTTGTTACTGTCATTTTTTTAAAATATACTATAAAACAATATAGAAATGGTGTGTGTGTGTATGTCTGTTATTTTAGAATCTAGAGTTCATAGGTTTAAATAGAACATTTTGCTTTACAAAATATTTTATAAAGTGTTCATTAACTGGTGTCACAAAATCATGACAGTGAACTCAACATGATCTGATCAGTCACAGAAAAAACAGATGGACTTGACCCACCCTTGAAAGACTGATCTCCAGCCTGGGATGTAGTGGCACTGTGCCTGCCAAGCATAAGGTCCTGAGTTTGAAACCTGGTATAAAAAAAAAAAAAACTGATTCTCCACAAACTGACCCGGAGGTCTCCAGACAGATCCTGGAGCCCTCAGGACTATAGACTATAAGGTTGTGTTGCCACAGACGTTTCAGGGATGACTTTTGTGCGGAAGTAGGGTCAATTTGCAAAATTACAAAAAATATGAACTTCCTCACTAGCCCCTATAATGAAGCATGAATGTAGCCATCTCTCCCTACTAGTAACCATTTTTAAAATCAGGCTCATCTGGGGATAGAGCTCAGTGTAAAGGACTTGGATTCAGGCCCCGGTACCACCCCCCTAAAAAAATTACAGAATTTACAGAAATGTTTAACTTTGTATGACATGTCCCCCAAAAAAGAGTATTAAAGAGCTTCTAGAAACATGGGGGGTTTTTTTGGTACCAGAGATCGAACTTGGGACCTTGCACTTTCGAGGCAGGTAGCAGCACCACTGAGCCAAATCCCCAGCCCAAAACATGGCTTTTTTAATCATATTAACACCAGCATACAGATGATCCAGACTAACGATAGTCTTCATAATCATTTACAGGAAAATTGCACAAGTGATCATTCACAAATTGACTATTCGGCCAGGGATTTAGCTCAGTGGTTCTGCCACCTGTCCCCCAAGTGCAAGGACCCGAGTTCGATCCCCAGTACCAAAAAAAAAAAATTAACTATTGCTGGGCATAGTGGCCCATGCCTATAATCCCAGCACGCGGCAGGGGGAGGAGGGGGCTGAGGCAAGAGGATTGATGCAGGTTCAAGGCCAGCTTGAACTACATAACTAGACCCTGTCTCAAAAAAACCAATAAATAAATTTAAAGCAAATATATAGCTGGATGATATAGCTCAGTGTGAAGACCCTAGGCCAATCCTCACCAACACACACATATATACACACACATTTGTTTTAGCCAGGTGTGGTGGAGCACATCCATAACCCCAGCACTCTGGAAGCTGGGGCAGGAGGATTGCAAATTCAAGGCCAGCCTGGGCTACAGAGTGAGCTCAAACCTAGCCCTGAGCTTCCTAACAAGATCCTGTTTCCAAAAAATTCGTTGAAAACTTTAAATTTCATTGCCTGATGTCCCATATGGTTCTGTGTCTCTGGATTAAAGTTTCAAACGTGAGCCGGTCCTGCACAGACTGTGTCTGGGCAGTGGAGTATACATCACCCTTGAAGGATTCTACACCACAACGGGGATGGCTGTGCGCCGCTGCATGAAGTAGAGCAGGCTCAGCCCAGCTGCAGGATCTGGAGAAGGTCGGCAAAGACATTTGTAACTATGTCACACCCTCAAAACCCTAAAATAGTGCCCACAGCACCCCACAGTTCAGTTCTGGGTGTGCATCCAAAGGAACCGGAAGCAAACAATTGTATTTATGCCCCATGCTCACAGCAGCAGCATTCACAACAGCTAAACGTTGAGGGAGAAACCAAATTCCCCCAGTGGATGAATGGAGAAACACAATACATGCAATAGAATATTACTCAGTTTTAAAGAGAAATTAGCAGAGCACAGTGGTGAGCACTTGTAACCCCAGCTACTTGAGAGACTGGAGCAGGACCAGGAGGGTCCCAAGTTTGAGGCCATCCTAGGCAATTTAGTGGGGCCTTTCCTCAAAGGCACGGGACTGTGTGTGTTAAGTATGCACATTTCAGGGCCCTTTTTTTTTTCCTTTTTGGTGTTTTGTGGGGTTTTTTGTTGTTGTACCGGGGATTAAACTCGGGACCTTGGCGCTTGCGAGGCAGGCAGTGGAACCACTGAACTAAATCCCCGGCCCTCTTATTTTTTCTTAATCTTCTTCTGTTTTTCGTGGTGCTGCGGATGAGACCCAGGGCTGGCAGGGTCATCCGCTTTTGACATCTGCACGAAGCCGACACGAGGAGTGTCCCCCGCACCACGGTCCTTCGACGGGCAGCACCTTACCTTGCGGCAGCTCTAAGTCAGCGCCCCAGTGAGGTTCAGCTCCGCGCTGCTCCCCAGGCCTAAAGAGAACCGCGGGCGCCCGGAGCCAGACCTCAGTGAGGCTGCCTTCGGAGGAGGCTGGCAGGAGGCGCGGGTGCCTCAGACCCCACCGAGGGGCCTCTGGCCACAGCTCCGACCTCCGACCTCCCCTCCGTGCCTTTGTTGTCTCCAGTTCAGGTCCCTAAGTTCCTCTCCATTTAGATAGAACGCCACTGCCTGAGAGGCCAGCCTAAGAGGTGTTCTTGTTTCTCTCAACCTTGGATTTTATTTATTTACTTACTTACTTACTTCAGGATCTGGCCAGGTAGTTCAGACTGGCCTCGATCCTGATTACAGGAGTTCAAGCCATGCCTGACTCAGCCCTTAATTCTTTTTGTGTCCTTGACTCCTTCCTTCCTGTCTCCCCTGTGACTTTTTTTTGAGACAGGTTCTCACTATATAGTTCAGTCTGGCCTCAAACTCATGGAGATCCTCCTGCCTCAAGCTCTCAAGTGCTGGGATTGCAGGCATCCACCACCCTGCCCACCTCCAGGCTGGTTTTTTTGTTTTGTTTTGTTTTTGTTTGGTACCGGGGATTGAACTCAGGTCCTTGTGCTTGCACAGCACGCAGCGAAACCACTGAGCTAAATTCCCAGCCCTCCAGGCTGGTTTTTTAACTCATGAAGTAACCCAGGCTGATCTCAAACTTGCTGTGATCCTCCTGCCTCAGCCTCCTCATTGTTGGTATATTACAAGCATCACCCACCACTCCCAGCTCAAATGGTGTGTACCTTAAGCAGGGCAAGGCCTGGGGGTGCAGCTCAGTGGTAGAGCTTGCCTAGCATCCATGAGGTCCTGGGTTCCATCCCCAACTGTGAAAATCCACCTATGCACCCACCCACCCACCCAGCCAGCCAACAATGCAGACAATGTGCCCAGCTCCTCACTAGACTGATTGAGCTACCTGAAGACAGAGAACATACCTTGTTCACTGGGATTCATAGCTTAAAATGATCCCTCACACGTTCTTTTACTTAATCTTATTATTTTGAGATAATTGTAAGTTCTACATGCAATTGTAAGAAATAATACAAAGGGCTGGGGATTTAGCTCAGTGGTTTCACCACCTGCTGCACAAGCGCAAGGACCAGAGTTTGATCCCCGGTACCAAAAAAAAAAAAAAGAAAAGAAATAATACAAAGAGACCTGGGTGTGGTAGTGCACACCTGTAATCTCAGCACTTGGAAGGCTGAGGCAGGAGGATTGCTGGAAGTTTGAGGCCAGCCTGGGCTGTACAGTGAGTTCAAGGTCAGTCTGGACTATTACATATGGAGGCCCTGTCTCCAAAAAAAAAAGAAAAGAAAGGAAAGTGAAGTCTAAGAACTCTGGCCCTAGATCTTGCTAATATTCTCCTGTTTTATTCTAAAAGCTTATACTTTTATGTTTACATTTAAGTTCACAGTACATGGGGGATTGTATTTATTTATTCGAATTTTTTGAGATAGGATCTCACTGTGCAGCTCAGGCTGGCCTTTTGAACTAACTAGGTTGCCCAGGCTGGAGGGTTTCAGGGGTTGGCAGCAGCCATGCTCAGATTCCTGGCCTTGAATTTGCATCAGTCCTCCTGCCTCAGCCTCCCCAGTGCTATGATTATGGGGCATGCACCACCACGCCTGGGCTTGGTTTTAAAATATTGAACCACCTGAGTGTGGTGGTTCATGCCTGTAATCCCAGCACTCCGGGAGCCTGAGGCAAGAGGATTTGGAGTTCTAGCTCAGCCTGGCAATATAGCCAGACCCTGTCTCAAAAAAGGGCTGGGCAATAAAAGGAAAGCACTCACTGGTCAAAGGTTTAAGAACCAGGAAATAGCCAGGATGTGCGCCTGTGAGACCAGAAGCAGAATGAGCAAGCTAACAAGAAGAAACACATAATGGAAACCCAAAATTATTGCTCACACTGAGATGAAAAGGAGCGAAAGCCTACAACCAGGGTAGGCCCTGTGCTTAAGCGCAGCTGCTTATGAAATTTTAAATTTCTAACAAGGGTCACTATATCTAGTCACATCCTTCCCTAGAGAGGAAAATTCAAGTTTCTATTAAGGAAGAACTGGGCTGGGGATTTAACTCAGTGGTTCTGCTGCCTGCCTGGCAAGCGCAAGGTCCGGAGTTCAATCCCTGGTACCAAAAAAACCCCACTAGATTTTATTAAGGAGGAACTGAAGCTCTCAAATTACTGAGTTGAAGAGTACCAGTTTATATGAATCCAGCCAGGTGTGATGGTGCACTCCTATAATCCCAGCACTCAGGAGGCTGAGGCTGGAGGATGGCTGGGAGTTCCAGGCCAGCCTGGGTCACATAGTAAGTTCAGCCAGTCTGAACTGTCTCAAAAAAACAATAAATAAGTAAATAAAAAAATTGGGGGGGGGGGACCCTGGGATTTAGCTCAGTGGTTTCGCCACCTGCCCCACAAACGCAAGGACCCGAGTTTGTTGCGCTTGTGGGGCAGGCAGTGAAACCACTAAGCTAAATCCCTGGCCCTAGTAAATAAAAATTTTAAAAGGTCTACCTTGTTATTTTATTGTTATCCTGTCATTTAAAATGTAAAGTATGATGTATATTACCCTTTATATGATGGTTTTATTGTTTCATATTTTTTCCATGTCTTCTTTACTGTTCCTCAGTAGAACCCAGAACATTTTAAAAGCAATTAATGTTCAGTGTAAATTTTGGAGAATTTGAATAAAATTGGCTGTGGTTCATTTAAAAAATAATAAAATGTAAATTATGCTATCTTGAATCCT